AACAAACTATGACTGAGATCGCCGTTTCTGAGAAATTGTGGCAAGATTGCTTCACGTAGGGGTTCAACTAATCAGCGTTTGAAGATCTGGGTTTTCAATTTTTTCTCGATTTATTGTGATTGTGTTCAGTCTAAACCATATTCCATTTGGGGGTTCCGTAATTTCACTGCAATAAGACGATTTGCATAGAAATTGAGGTTTGGATTGACTCAAGTGTATCGAGATTTTGAAGGATACATCACTGAAAATAGAGTTTAATAGTGATTCCACTATTGCTCCATGTTTTCATCCTTCTGTTTGCGATCCCACCACTGCTACATGTCGGAGCTTCCACCACTGATACATGTCTAGAGTTATCGTCGGAGTTGGAGAACTTGTCGGCGGGTCTTGAATCCAGAGATGAAACCCTAGTAATAGTCGGAGAAGCACAACTTAGTGGCACGAAGAACGGAGAAGGGGAATTCGTCGATGGGTCTTTAATCGTCGGAGGTGGAGAAATCATATATAAGGTTTAGCAAAACTGGATTTTTTTCACTATGTGTGTGTTTAATTTTCTTTGTGTGTGTGTAGAGTTTTGTGAGTGTGTGTTCATGAGGAGATGATTTTTGAAGGTACAGAGAGAATGCAAAGTTCTCTGATGAAAATACACTGAGAGAGAGAGAGAGAGAGGTATCAATAGAGGGAGAGAGGGAGAAAGAGACGGAAGAGAGATAGAGTTTTACCCATTTTCTTTTTATTATTAGACAAAACTTCAAAAATAGTCCCTGTGGTTTTCGAAAATATCAAGTTTAATCCCTGAGTTCAAAAAACCTCACGGATCGTCCCTGTGGTTTCAAAACTTTTAACATTTGGTCATTCCGCCTAACTCCGTCAGCTTTCTACTGTTAAGTGAAGGGTATTTTCGTCATTTCAACACCTAGGGACCATTTATGAGGTTTTCTATTTTTTTTTTGGAAAAAATAGAAAAAAAAAATAAATTTAAAGGGGTCCCACCCATCTCTCTCTCTCTCTCTCTCCACTTTACAATAGAGGAATCCTAAAAAAAAGCTACAACAATGGAAGCTGCAACAGCTGTGTTACCAAATCTCACTCATTCAAATCCCCCAAATCCCCTGAATCGCTCCATAAATCTTACACCCAACTCTACCTTCTATGGTTCTTAATGAAATCTCTAACTCACAGCTCTCCAATTCACAACATCTGGGTCTCAACCATCTGGGTCTCAACTTTTTCTGCTCATTGTCTTCCCCATACACACCCACAAATAAAGAAAACCCAAAATCGGAAACTCCAGATTTATCCACCGAATCACATCTTCAGAATCCGGTCTCGACCCGTGAAGAAGCACTACCACGGACGATCTAGAATTGCAAACCCGAAATCCCATGAGATAAACATCGAAACCCAGAAAAAATTCATAAAATCTTGGTTTTCTTGAGTAGAATCAAATTGAGTACCATTACAGGAACCCACTAATCTCTCATTTGCCTCAAAACGTCCCAATCTATCTAGCAGCATCTCGATCTGGTAACTGCCAAATTCCTTTATCTTGTTGGCGTTTGAGATGAGTTCTTACAGAGCCTTTATCCTCTCTGCAATAAGAACAAGATTTTGAAGAAAACATAATACGAGGTTTATAGGAAAGATAAGAAACATGGGCCTGAATCTTCTAGCTCTACTTCTCTGACGTGGCTGTGATGGTGCTCCACCACCAGTGTTGCAGTTGCGGTCTGTACTCACGATTGTTGACAACGATTTCTACAATGTAATTTGGAACGTAGGTCAACTACTCACTATTCACTTGTGGTTTCCAGTCTAAGACACAAACACAGGACGGAACAATAAAAACCACGCACACACATATGGGGAAGGGCGGTGATTATCGCGTCCACAAATTGATGATGACAACAAGCAGCTGACAGTGGTTGGGAGATGTAATCAAAATCGACGGCGCTAGGGTTTTAGGAGGTGGTGTCGTCGTCGGAGTCGATGGGTATTATATGATGCAATGATAGTCGGAGCAACTGTATCGTGGAATCGTTACAGAGCAACAAACTTCAAACAAATATGGTTACGATGATGCAATAATGATGATCATAAATTACGGACGAATGTGGTGGAGGTGAAGTTATATGATAACAGGGATTGAATTTTCCCTTTTTATTTTGGGTTGCAGGTGC